AAATGAGAATAATGTATGGAAATGTTCCTGATGATTTCGCAAAATATGATTAGGGTTATTATTTTTTTTTCTTGTAAAATTGTTGCGGTAATCTGGTCTATTGTCTTTATATTCACTTTGCGTGTCTGTGCGTCTGACGTGAGTCGTCTTCACATTAACTCCGCTGTGATTTTTTGGGCTGACCCGGTTGTCAGGTCATGCCTTCACCGACATGTCCGTACATAATTCCCACTAATCGTTTCTGAATGAGTCTGGGAAGAGAGAAAAAATTAGTTTTGTGCTGGAAACACCGTGATAGGTTGAATTCAACTTTTCCAATTATGAACCTGGTATATAAAAAAAGAACGAACAGTCTGTTGGTCAAGATGCGTCACCGGTTATCCAGTATATAGCCCAGCATCGCTGGCTGGGTTGTGCTTACTCGATCGTCAATCTGATTGAACCACCATGATACGTGAACTCCGAGTATTTATTTTAGACCGCACCTCAGTTCCATGCTCAAACAGCTCGGATGGACGGTGTTTGCTCGATACACACTCGAGATATATGACAACACATGCTTGCAATGAAGTTGGTTTTTAAACAAGACTTATTAACGATATATATATATAACAGTTTTGATAATCCCGAAAACCTACAATTGTCTGGTTAAATAGAACAAATTGATGTGTACGTAATAATAATAAAAAAAAATCAATTACATAATAATAAAAATATACAGTAAAAATATATAAAATATGTATAGAAAAATATATGAATGAAATTAAATTCGCGCCGTACAATACATCAGATTTTAATCAGACTGATTCAGAGTCCGCGAAATAAATAATGACAAACACTCGTCAACGGGTATGCTGGTCAGCAAAATATTTGTTTGGCCCATCAACAATATTGGGTAGGCAGTCATATACCAGTATACAGTGAAAATAGTGCCAAAGGTTGTAACAAATTGAAAAGCTTTCTACAACCGTCCTGGGGTTGAAACAGCATGAATGTAGCGTGGAAACTCTTTAAAATAAATTCAGACAAATAATTATTTTTATCGCCTGTCACACCTGGTGATTTCTAGCACTGAATGCCGCCCGGTTACATTTGTATAAATGACCTCTGACATTGTCTGGGTCAAACTTGAATTAACGACCCGGTATGGTGTGTTACTTATTTACCACGCACGGCGTATAGTGCCGTGACGACCCGCCATTACCGATCTAGATATTCAGCCGCCGACACGGTAAGTACAGTCTTAATAATCAAAGTATTGTAATGGATGCACATACGTTTAAGATCCCTCCGTGTTTGCCTTTCTTCTGCCGCGAAGATATCACATGACAACCTTGACATGTTCATCAACTCGGGCCGGTTCGTGATCACGTGTTCGAGAACGTTCGCAACCCGGGATTATCGCAGTGAAGACGGGTGCCTCGAAATGAGAATAATGTTTGGAAATGTTCCTGATGATTTCGCAAAATATGATTAGGGTTATTATTTTTCTTGTAAAATTGTTGCGATAATCTGGTCTATTGTCTTTATAATCACTTTTGCTGTGATTTTTTGGGCTGACCCGATTGTCAGGTCATGCTTTCACGGACATGTCCGTACATAATTCTCATTAATCGTTTCGAAATGAGTCTGGGAAGAGAAAAAAAAAATGTTGTTTTGTGCTGGAAACACCGAGATAGGTTGAATTCAACTTTTCCTAGTATGAACCTGGTATACAAAAAAAGAACAAACAGCCTGAGTCTAATTGGCCACAATGCGTCACCCGGTTATCCAGTATTTAGCTCAACATCGCTGTGTTGTGCTTACTCGATTTTCAATTTGATTGAACCACCATGATACGCGAACTCAGAGGTTTTATTTTTAGACCGCACCTCAGTACCATGCTCGGACGGACGCTGTTTGCTCGACACACACACGAGATATATGACAACATATGCATGCAGTGAAGTTATTAAACGTGACTTATTAACGATGTTTGCCCCATGGTGTGACAAAGCGATCGAAAGCTTGTATTTTGAAAGATGTACCTCACAATTTACGAGAGGGAGTGTTAGAAGAATTTACCACTCGTTGATTTGTTAAGATAATGTACACTTATTCTGCTGTCGTATTTCATGCCAATTCTACATTTATATAGCCCAAGGCCTGTTCAAATGCCAAAGTATTATCTATGTACACAACATATACAATCCGATTTTTTAATGATTTTAATGTGAACATGCGATTACGTTTGATATTTATGTTTTTTTTCTTAACACGGCCACTGGTCTATAACTGTATATAGTTTGTGTTTTGTCTGGCGTTCCATGATCGATTGAGAATGAGTAATCAAACAGGAACAGTAGAAAACACAGAACACCAATTAGAACACCGAATAGGGCAAATAACAACAACAACAACAACATCACAGTTAAGACGTTAATTTATAACTTTGTATACATTTTATCGAGAACCCGGGGTTTAGCACACCCATTTATCGCGCATAGCGATGAATTGAGACTTTTCGAAAACGCGCCAATTGTGGCTACACACTTCGTAATAGTCTCATGGCGGTCTGAGTCGAAACAAGACTCGACATCGACATTCTGTTAAGGTCAGATAGTGTAACCTTAGCTTATTATCAATTAATATTTACTGGTAGGTAACGGTAATGGGAAACTCAAATTACTGCTGGTACCATACGTGACAGCGAGCTTCCCATTTATAGACTGTACTGTGTTGTATGCATGCCGATGACCATACAATATCAAGAATGTGGGCAATTTACCGACACCCATTTTTAAAAGTTCGAATAATGAAAGTCCCCATCTGTTTCATTCTGATTAACCAAACGGGCTACGAGTAACCGTAAGTGTATCCACAATTGATCGACTATACTTTATTCAGTTATCCAGACAATCTCGGTCATTTTGGAATGTATACATAACGCATGCGTATAATTAATTAAAACATTTCCCCGTATAACTCATGAGCGCTGTTTTTCTTCTTTGAATCGTCGTCACGGTTACTCATAGCTATGTTAGTTGATCAGAATAAATGGGAACTTGTATTACTAGAAGTTGTAAAAAATGATATCGGCAATGTTTTCTACATTCTTAATATTTTATGACAGTCACCGGCGACCATGACAACCTGTTTTATTTCATCTCAACCCATACGATAAGTGGAAGGCCGGCTGTGATATTAAACTACTAGCAATTTAAAAAATGAAATATCAAACCAAAAAAAATGAAGCACGCGCTAATTGTTTTATGCACATGTGCTTTGAATTGTGTTTCATTGGGTGGAATATGTTTTATAACCCAAATTCCACTGAAAGGTATTTTTGTCATAGAGCTGCTAATCTGCGCGTAGCACTAAACTCTGAATATCTTTAATACAACGTCCTCAATCGGCGACATATTGATGTTTTGTTTACTTACATCATTCTCATTCCTTGGCCTGATTAATCGAATCGAACACCTATAATATTTAAAAAAAATATTTATTTTTCAGTGAATTGTTTTTTAAGCCCAAATTCATTTGTTTCTCGTCGTGATACTATTTTGTCGCCGCTCATACCCTATAAAAATTTGTTATACAGTAGTCGGTCAAGTACTACTATTATTTGTTTATTAGAACATTATTATGAAAGAGTGGCAAAAGGTAGGATGATCTGATAATATGTCACCGGTCATATATGCGCATGACGTATGTATCGGCACGGACTTATTCGAGTAGATTTCACCTAATCACGAAGGGGTGCACGCTCATACGGTTTCCAGGCTGTATTTCATGACAGCGCACTCATGTGACATGGTCGCTTCCATTTTCAGAGGAAAGCTGTGTTTTTATAATGTGATATATTCATAATGCTTGTGGCATAAGTTTAATGAAATCAATTGGACAATTTATGTACGAATCAATTTTCCAATTGCATTTCGAACTGATAAGCATCGTAACGCACCATCTCCATTATACGGCGTTTTGTAATCTCGGAAACAATGACTGCGCCATCTAACGGCGTTTTTATTGGTGCTTTCGTTGTCAGTTACTAGGATTTTTCTGTACGCGACAAGCATGGGTAAAAGCAAATGACTTTTAATTGATGTCGCATAGAAACATGTTATAATTTAGATTGATTAATTTTAGATTGAGAGGGGAATCGTCGATTAATAATAAATAATGGTAATACAATTACTACTCGGACATTGTAGTATACTAGTAAACGTGCTTTGTTTACAGAACATAGAAATGAATTCAATGGTGACTAGATTTAACACGTCAAACATTCTGAGATGGGACCGGACTTGAGAGAGCGACATAATGCGGTTGGTTTTCAAGATGTAATTCAACTGTAATGGTAATGTCAGTTATAGCCAATATCACGCTAGAAATGATTGTATCGAATATACTAATATACACATATCTACCTACACATACGGACATTCGTATTTGGCTGGCTCCCTCCATCCTGCATACCAAGGTCACGCGCCATCCTATCACTGTTGCTTGGGAATGAGGGTAGAGAATCGGTTACCTCATCAGTTGTCATGGTGCACCAAGCCACAAAACGCCGGGTCACTAGTAATAGTTCCGACACTCTGATTGGTCCATCACGTACTCATTCTTTGTTCAATTTCCCTTGGTTACATGGCGTCAGCGCTAACACTAGTGGTCGTTAAATATAGAGAGTAAGGGTTACCTTTTATAATCAAGTCTTTTGTTATCACTTTGCACAAAAATAGCAAGAAATGCCAAAACCATCTCAGATATAAAGTTTAAGAAGACAGGCCGAGTTTGCATGGCGTTAATGTTGTAATGAAACGAAAATTGGAATGTTTTAAAATCACGTCACTTAGTCACGTGCATCAAGGGCCAGAATCCGGCGGTCCAAGTCCAGTTACACAGTATAGTATGGCGGTTACTAGTTACATACACTCACGAGAGAAGCCGGGAACCAGTGAAACACACACCTAAGTTAATATTTTAATTATATATCTGTAGATATCTCTGTCACAATGGGTAAATTTGAAGTGGTATCGTTGTTGTTTATAACGTCGATGCTAATTGGCTCGATCCGCTCCGACGATTTCCAGCCCCTGCGCATAGCGGCGTTCAACGTACAAGTGTTCGGGGTGTCAAAGATGTCAAAACCGATGGTGCCCGAAATACTTACGAAGGTAAAGGTTATATCACACTTGTTATTTCCATTTTAATGTACTTTTAGTTTGTATGTGTATTGCAAAGTCCTCAGAGACTATATTATAAATAACAAGTATCTACCGGAGAAATGACGCTCATGCTCAGTCATTATGTAGGCTCATTGGTTATGTTGTAAATTTAGTTCTATTCCAAATTTGGTCGGAAACAGAGGTTCAAAATGTATGTCTTTACAGTATCAGTGAATCGACATTTTTTGTTGTCGTAATGATACTGACTAAAACATATCACACGTTGAATAAATGGCAATTTGACGCTGTACGTTAATTATCTATTGAAGCGAGCTGAGTTCAACCAGAAGATGTGAAATAGAATACGGGGCATAAACGTCACAGATGGCGTTTAATCCACGGAGACAAAAATATTAGATTAATTAATAAAAAAAACACTTTCAAATCAACTTGAAGTCAACAAAAACCAAAGTGAAGCCGCAAACACACCAGACTCAGAATTGTGAAATAATTAATTCTTGCACACCAGCATAAATACTGGTGGTATTTCGCCACCGGGGAGCGAGCATGTTGTCAATTGCGATTGTATTGTATAATTAAATATGCAAGACGAATGGTTACTACTAAAATGAACTGGTCGTCACCTGCGCACGCGCAGGAATTGAGTCGCAAACGACGATAACAGCGCACACGAACTTAACGCAATAGCTCTTGAGTAGGCGTTTGTCTGCAACAACGACACGCTATAGCCATCTGCCGCATGCGCAGGTGACGACTCCCCCGCTTTAAGTTATATTTGAAATCAATTTTGTTTCAGATTATTCTGCGTTACGATATCATACTTATACAGGAAGTGCGGGATAGCACAGGTCAAGCAATACAAGACCTACTGTATCGCGTAAACACGTAAGTAAACCTGTCGAAGATGGTAGGTAACTTAGAATGACGCCAAAATCTAAAGTCAGTAAGTCGAGTTATCACGTGCATCTATAGACCATTTTCCGTTGACTGTGGGATCCCACGACATGCGTGAAATTGAACGAAAACAAAAACAAAACAAACAAAGGTCATAGCGTCGTAGTGGCTTCCGAACATCGCGTAAGGTTCGTCAAATGCGGAATTTTTGTGGGTATCTCTATGCTTAACAATGCGGTATACACATTAATTAATTTCGATGAAGTAATGGTATTTCAACGCAATATTCCCATCTCAAGGATCGCCATTACGAAATTGAGCCATAAAAACGGAAACATAAAATCCAAAAGCGAATCGTTCGATGTTTTTGACAAACGTTCGGTTGGCGTCTTTCACGCAATATGCGAGATCTCGGGGTGCACGGAAAATCACCTATTGGGAGCCGATTGGGTAACCACTTCTTCTTTCTGTCATAAATACGTTCTTTTAAAGTTATAATATGCCCCAGTTTGTTTGTTTTAATTTGACTAGTGTGTAATTATTGTTTATAAATTACGCATGAGATCTATAGAGGGCTCAACAGCGTGTTCGGGTCATTGCGAAGCTACTTAAAAGATTGTGCCAATTGGCTATCCATCCCTGACACGGCAGAATTATCTGTCAGTGTCTTGTTTGTTGACTGGTATCAATTTCTTCGACACAACTGTCGTTTTCATAGGTCTAAATTGACCTTTGACACAAATAACCGAGGATATCTCGCAGAGAGCCACGAGACTTGTTTTCAAACCATGTTTCATTCTCTTCTGTCATCGCGGCAACTATTCCGAATTCAAAGGCTACGCAGATCAGTGCTACAGTAAACTCGATGAGAGAAGAGAATAGGAAACTATTTGAAAACAAGTCACTTGGCTTTATTATTTTTGGGATAAGGTGTGTCACCCGATTCAATGTGCGTTTGCTTGTCTGACTGCCACAGTGTAAGCATTTAATACGGCTTTTGTATGACAAAAATTATTAACTATTCATTATTTGCGTTTTAGTTGACAATACGCACAACTGACCATCCCTTGCAGTCTTTCACAGTGTCTTAAGACCGGTGATATGTTCATAGAATCATCGAAAATCATTTTAAATGATTTTCAGCACGCATTGGAGATCTTTTCGGCTTACAATGTGGTTGTGTATTCGAACTTAACTTTATATGAAGCATTCGAATAACCTCCTGACGCACGTGGAGTTACCAATATCAGCCTATTAATTAATTCTGAGCAACAAGAGTGCATTCGTAATTCATGTAATCGCAATACCCACCAAAACTGTAGGAATAACATCAGCAGACAACATTAACATATTCTATAATATTCTACAGAGCTGACGCTTTGGAAAAACAGCAAGACGCATCATGTGACGCAGAGAAGTCATGTGACAACATGTGAGTAATGCCTACGTGTAATGCCTACGTGTACGATGTAATTTTTGATTTTACCTCTTATTTACAGGTTTCACATCACTGGCGAATGTAAACCCGCGAAAAAAAACATGCGTCAGTAAGGGCGATTTTGAGTAGGATTTTACTGCAAAAATTATTGCGATAGAATGGAGTATTTCTCTCCTCACATCATGCAGTTTCACTTGGAAATTTGAGATCCACGCAAGTTTTTTAAATTGATTTTAAAGTCTAATAGTATGTTCTATAGGGAGTATATTGGTGGTTGTGAGATCCACGCGGCAAACGTTATGTCGGCGTAGTAAAAAGCTTGAAAATAATCAAAATAACGATAATGGTAGAATTCCGGTATTTCGTTGCAGTAGAAGTAATCGTCTCTGCAACTGATTTTGTGTATATATCAACAAGATTTTAATGCTCTTTATTCTTCTGTCAGTGATGGCGATTTTGACATGGTTATCAGTGAACGTCTTGGTCGAAGTAGCAGCAAAGAACAATATGCTTATATATACAGGTAATGTTTAGGAGCTGGGTATGGGTATTTTATTTGAAATGCATCGGGTTCACTATATATCGAAAACTAAAAACCCTGGCCGGGCGTGGTCAAAAGTGTTGCAATGTATTATAAAAGTTTTCCGTTTGGTAAACGTCATATTTACGTTACGCTCGAATACTTTCTTCTGTTTACGACGGACGCAGAAACAATGCAGCGCCGCATCATGGAAAATAATAATGCTACTTAACGCAGATGTTCGCACAGGTGTCAATCTCGTGGGACGCCATTCACTGGCGTTTCGACCTGTTTTATATCACTATACTACAAACAAGGAAAGGTGTATTATTATAAGATTATTGTCATATAGATCGCCTTACTGTCTACCCGTGAAAACATGGTATTCTATTTGATAACACAATGAAATAAATTTATGCGCGTATATTTGTAATTAATGGCACGTACTATAAAACGTAAATCAGCGTTAGGTATTCAATATTACATGACCAAACGATGTATGTTTACAATAAACCAGAACTATGAACACAAGGAATACCACACAAAATATATTTCTGTAAATGTGTATCTAACAATACACCAGGTGGGCGAGTAGAGGTGCTAAGTTAATATTTTTTGATTTCAGTTAGCAACGTAATATGAGTTCGTGAAATAAACATTCATTTGTCGTATTCAGTTTCAAACACCGTTGGAAGCTAGTTCTAAGTTTTCTACGATCCAGTGAATTCAAAAGACAATCATAACCATAATCCGAACTATTGATTAATCCCAGCAATATCCAATTCAAAACAAGTAACAATATTCTTGTTATCCGATTGTAAATTCCTTCCACACCATAATCACGACTGTATGAATGGATTATCTATTTGAATTTCAGGAAAAGTCGTGTGAGTGTGACTGACAGTTACCACTATGATGATGGGTTGGAAGAAGACAGTACTGATCATTACGAGAGAGAACCATTCATTGTCAGATTCCATTCACCATTCACAGGTAAAGATTTGTTGAGTGTGGTTTTGCGTATTTATGATTACCATTGGGATGGCTTTAAGTTTATGAGTGGTTGTCTTAACTGGAAGGACCGTCCAGTGTATTTATAACGCCGTAATATGTTTACGGCATAGGTAAAAACTTATGACTCATGATCGGTAGACCCAAGTTGAAATCCTACCTCAGGCTAAACATCAAAGGGTCTACCCCTACCCTGGGTGAGTGTGCCGCAGACCAAATGGGAAGGACAATTCCACTGGCCGAGATTCATTCACTAACGCATGCGACTTTGGGTAACCTTGGTTTACATCCATGGGTGGTTGTGTTCGACTGAGCCTGGTTGGCGCCAGGATAGCGCATTGAATAGCCTTTTAATGGGGAGATGACCACACAGCCCTGTCGTGTAGTCCCAAAATGCACTATATGACAGCACTATCATTTGCATTGCACATGAAAAAAATCGGTAGAGACAATTTTCAATGTCCGAAACTGTCCCCTGGCACAGCAAATAAAATAAAATAAAAAAACACACACTTTTCTGTTTCAGATGTTAAGGACTTTGCCATCGGTGGTATCCATACAAAACCTGATGACGCAGTCAGTGAAATCGACAGATTGGCTGATGTATATGACGACATCGTGAAACGATGGTCGCTCGAGGTACTGTAGAATGCATTTATGTTGTATATATAGATTTTATTTTTGTTTATCTCGCCAGACACGACGTGGAACCATTTTTACCATACAACAGTGAACGGAGATCAGAAATCAATTCGTATTTTCAATCATGGGAGCAATAAAACCACAAATATTTGCGCACAATATACTTCACTTGAATACAGGCAAATCAGTAACCATAATTTTCATAACGCCCTCTGCGTAAAAAAATGATCCCAACTATAGAGGGCCAAATACAAAATAGGTGAAACCTATTTTCGAGAGAAAACTCGCATTTCCCACTCATAGTGAAATTCCTGTTATTCAAGACACAACGTTACAGCCTCTATCAATTTGTGAAGTATTGTTCATAATATCCCGTTGCTATAAGTCGCGGCCTGCAGCGACGAAGCCCATCGGACGTAAATCTGTCCAAGGCACACAGTTCACATAGCTGATATTACGCTGGTCTGCAGTCGTCCGTCGCTAAAATATACAATTTTTTCAGAGATTTGCTCTATTTTAAATACTGATCGACTACAAAATTCATATATTTTTAATTTGATCGATGTTACGAGCATCTAGGCAATGTCAACATCACGGAGGTGCTCTGTCGCCAAATAGCTCATCTTATTGAAAAAGTGTATTGTTATCATTAGTCAGTTCAAAATGACGGTTTTGCGTGATAAATATTTCACACTTCATATAGGACGTACTGATTGCCGGTGATTATAACGCCGCCTGTAGTTACGTAAAGTCCGATGATTGGAAGAATATACGACTGAGAAGTCAGGAACGCTTTCTGTGGTTGATAGCTGACAACGTTGACACAAACGTCGCTGGTGACATATGCGCCTACGACAGGTAGGTTACGATCGTAGCGCCACCACAAGGCATGACACGGTTTATAGCGTGTTCTTTTCGCGTCAGGATGGTTATGAGTTCGATCCTCCAATGAGCACGTCCAATGAAAACGATGTAACAACTGTCAGCCTCGTTCGCCGTCGTTACCCGGGGGTAATTAAATAACAATTGACGGCGGTCCTGTTTCAGGGAAATTTTAGTCAAAAACATTTCCAAAAACGCTATTTTAGGGTGAAAATAAAAATTTTGTGCGTCATTGAAGTGAATATTTGTCCAAATTTGATATTCATTAAATCTTACCAATGTCTGGGGTTATTTTATTTTTCCTGAAAAGTAGACACACAGAGAGGGAATTGTTCGAGTCAGCGGATTCCAGGTAATCCCTCAGTGAGGCACATCATGTATAACATTTTCTATGTGGATGCCCCTTTCCGGATAATGTTGTCCTCAGTACATGCACAAAACCTATGTATTCTCAGCGCCAAGACTTTTAGAGTATCGGATTCCCGCGGGTGATATCCGCGTTCTCTCATATCAGCCAACGAACACCCATATTGCTGCCAGATATTTGCTAAGTAACAAATAACTAAGCAACATAAATAAAAAGGTCATGAATGGAGATGAATATTTGGGAATGATGCGAACAGACACGGCTATATTTTCTATATATTAGATTTGATGAATTTATAATTTGCATACTATGCTTTTTGTTCGTTTCGGATAGGATGGAGGAGAAACAGGAACATAATGTTGAGTGTTGTTTTTTCTCAGGCTAGTCGTTGGGGGCGATCTCATGAAACGGGCTGTGTGGCCTGGCAGCGCACGGGAGTTCCTTTTCGATAAAGAATATGGACTGACGGACGAACAGGTAACCAATAAATCTATTGACAGTTTTTTTTATTGTGGCGTGACATCACAATATGTGCATTTTGGGTGCAAATTCACGATATTCGGTATATTTTTATTGAAAGCGGGAATTCACGTGACATTCATTGTTTTTTAGGATTTTTGTGGTTAATATTCACAATTTCATAATTAGTTCTTCATGTTGTATTGTGTGTGTTTTCATTATATTGCGAAAATAGCAATATTACTCATATTTTCCTCAAACATTCATTGGCTCCGGTATGTACATGAACGTACCACGCTTATATAGTATGTGTAAATGAACTGGGGGCGATGTCCTATCATAACCAATAAGAACAATGGGAACTTCATTGCATCGACGAACTATTAATATCGGAAAGCTACTGAACAATTTTCATGTCCCATAGGCACGTTTTCCTTCCTCTACATACCCTCTGATGGTTGCAAGTAACTTTGGGTTTGTTATGTTGTTAATTTATTTTAGACTTCAGAAGTCAGTGATCATTACCCAGTAGAAATGCTACTACTTCCGGAAGGTGAGTCATGATTGAAATTATGTAATATTTTTTTCAAAAATCCGAGACAATTGCGCTTTCATCCGGGTTACACATCCGGGTTTTTTATGACGACAGCATGATCTCCTTCAATGAAATATAACTGTAATGTAAATTTCCGACGATATCAATGCTCAGACAACTCATTCATGTCACGTGGTTCCATTCACCCACTAACGGTCACGAGCTCCGGTATGTAAAATGTACTAGTATTTTGTTTTCAGTGAGTGACGCTATTACCAAGCACATCACGACACATTCTGGATTTGCTGTCACCGACGACCGCGACGTGGACGAGTCAAGTTTACAAGCATTCGCAGCGGCGTCAAGCACCACGGAATTGAAAATCGACGCATTTTTTGACGGGAATGGTCAATTGAAGAAAATCACCGCCTTACAAAGTATATCTGGTATTCAAGATGCCGTGGCTACCTTGGAAAGGTTCAACTCCGAGTATCCTGGAATTGTTTCCATGGAAATCATCGATGTTGTCGCAGCACACGCCAAGCAGTTCAGTCTACAAGCCGATCACTCTGTAGTACTGACTCGTAAAAAATCAAAACAAACGAAATTGTTGGTCACGTGCTCTGTGGAAGAGACGGCAACATGTGGCGTGGCAGTTAGAAAATAACCGTACTTGAATTTGCACACGTCACTAAGTCAATCAGTTAGGCAATTTGATGCGTAAATTGTGCGTTTGATTACTCCCTCATCGTTTATAATCTGAATTATTTTATGTTCGAATCCAGACATTAATGTAGCTCCGTTGTTTTTAACTCCACTATTCTTGAGATGCAGAAACCAAGATGTAGCAGTCGCGTTGAAGTCTATCCGCAGTTTACCTAAAATACTAAAATAAAATACATTAATCTTAAGTTGCCGTTGTCATGAATGATTTTTTTTTTGTCACCTAATGTGCCATATCAGCCCTTCGTCACCAGAGAGTGATGTACTAGTGTATCTTAGATGTTGATCCAAAAGCCGTGTTGCTGGATTTATTCGAAATAATTCAACACACGCTATCACATGGAAGAGGATCATTCTATTCATCTATCAAATCAAATCCTTAAATAAGCGAAATTGAAAGGAACTACGAGATCGTACGCTTGTATGATGACATCCAGTGTTCGAAATTAACGTCGGTCTGTCGGCCTCACGCCGACAGTGGGTGTAAAGGGCCTAGAGCTGTGAAAAACCATCAGTCTTTGTGACCGACCATAAATTTATATTTAAAAAAAAACGTTCCATTATTTAGTATGATTGCAAGACCAAATATATAATAAATATCGATAGGAACTCCAGAATTGTTTCAAAATTGCGTTTTCTTGCACGTTTGATCAACAAATGGCATCACTCATCGACCTGGGCATACGAGTCTTAATTCAAGCTTGCCGAATGATCGCGAAATGCGCCGAACGTGGGAACTGTAACAAACGATCTGATTGGTTGTAGGCCGATCAAGCCTCCGATTCAAACCAATAGAATTCGCGCTTACATTTTATGTTCCGCCATCTTTGATTTGCATCAAACACGCTGAAAACTACACAAACAGCAAGAATACGAACGGTCTAGGCGTAAACCACGCACATTCCAAATTTGCTGGCAGGCGGAGTTCAAAGACTGGTTACTTTTTGATAACAACAACAAGTGATGTATTGCCGGCCTTGTCGAGGATCGTGCAGCAGAATTGATCCTTGTAGAAGCTGAGCTGACGCCAATGATTGTGAACACGATGCAAAATGCATGTCAGATTCAGAGTCGGCCAGTGATCATGGTAGTATTTTTTCTGAAGATTTTGATGAGTTTAGTGACGATGAAAGAAATGATGATGACCTCTTTGAGGCTGCAGATAATATATCTGATTAATTAGTAAATAAAGGTTTTGCAATTGCAAGCTTGTATTATCCGTTTAGTCTTTGTTTGTTAAATATCAGGGCCTACAGTTAGCTAGAAGGACCTACAGTTTCAATTTGACATAGGTCCTTTGGGCATTTTATGATTTTCAGTTAATTTCGAACACTGCCACCAACCCACCTAGACTGACATGGTGGCACGAGAGATTGGAGCAGTAGTCAGAGGGAGACACTCACACCTCCATATCAGATTACAAAATCAACCACCTTAGAGCAAATCATTATGAGAACACACTGTTGCTAGGCAACATAAACGCTGCCTAAAAATTGATGAGAAACGTATACATGC